CTGGTTCCAATCTCACATGCTCTGGAGAGCTTCTATTCTCAAAGAGAAAATGCAAGCCTATTATAGCAACAAAGGTCACCCGTCCTCCATTGGTGCCTCTCTTCTGTTTGTGAGCTTGCAAATCTGCCATTTGAGGGAAGTCTGAGGAAGTGAGATCAAGACTGACCAGTGCTGAATGAAAACTCCTTTGATTTTAGATTGGGTGCCACAGCCAAGCCTTACTCTGACGTCACGGAGAGGAAAAATCGGACCCACTTCCCTGTTTGTTTGGCCTTGTGTCTGCCTTTGTTCCACTCAGCGGCTTGTGCGAGTCTGGCCTTGTTTCTCTGGGACCCTCTGTTACTTTTCATCATCTTTCCTAAAGCTGATATGACAGTCCCACAGGGAAGCAGCCAGTATCCCACTTGGATGAACTCTGCAACAAACACAATGCCTTCCTCTTTATCCCTAATTCTGAAGTGGTTTTTTGGTTTGGTTTGGTTTTTTTGTTTGTTTGTTTTCTATACTTAAGGGCAAAGAATGAGCCGGGCAGTGATGGTGCACTCCTTAATCCCAGCACTCAGGAGGCAGAGCCAAGCAGATCTCTGTGAGTTCAAGACCAGCCTGGTCTACAGAGTGAGATCCAGGACAGGCACCAAAACTACACAGAGAAAACCTGTCTCAAAAAAAAAAACAAAACAAAAAACAAAAGCAAAAAAGCAAAGAATGAGAAAGGCATAGACTTAAGAGTAAAAACCTCGCTTATATTTGTGATATTTATACAACATAAAGCATTTGTTATCAAACATGTGGAAACCAAGTTGTATGTTTAGAATAAACGGAAGGATACCTCATCTGCATGCTGCCTGTCTTTGACCTTCTGGGTTAAATGTCATCTCTCAGAGATGCCCTATGGATACCCTTTTATTCCTCAGCCGAATTTCCTTCTTGACATTCATCACTTCCTTGATAATTGACTTTCTGTAATCCTACACTGTAAGCCCAGCAGGGCAAATACTGTGTTAGTCTTCCCGTTCTGGGTTCCCTAAACTCAACACCATGAAGAGCACATCCTAGTCTCCAGTGTACTAAATGAGCAAATGAATAAACTACTAAGTACTGGTGTGGCCAACTTGCTCCAGTGCTTTGTGGACTTGAAGATACTGGTGCCTCATCATCACTTTCTTCATTTCCTATAACCAACTACAATGACAACCAGCTAGTCTTAATACCGTGCTTATTAGTGGTATTTGATTCATCAATTTCTGTTTGGGAAAACATGAACTTTTATGTTTTGTGAACTCTCTTATGGTTTGAATGTGAATTGTCCCCTGCAGGCCCGTGTGTTTAAACGTTTGCTTCCCACCCGGTAGTTCTGTTTTGAGAGGTTGTGGGACTATGGCCTGGCTAGCAGAAGTGACTCACTGACAGTAGACCTTGCAGGTAGCAGCCACCTCAGGTTACTGCCAAGGACTCTGCTGATCCACTAAGGTGTGAGGAGTAACGTATGCAGGTTCCACTGCCCCAGACGCAGCTGTTCCCATCTGCCTTCTTCAGCATGGAGAACCACGTTCCCTGAAACCATGAGCCAAGATAGACCTCTGTCCATGTTACCTCTCCACCCCTGGTTTTGTGATGAGAAAAGTAACTGATACAGTCTCACGTCGACTAACACAGTATTATCTGGAGGGTACAGTACAGTGAAACATGGTGTGAGCCAGCTTTGCGGCCTCCAGTGCAGTGCCTCATCCCTTCTTAGCTAGGTGATGACTCATTATTAACTACCCTTCAACCTCAGTTTCAAGTATTCAAGTTGGATATTTAAGCACAGCTCCCATACAGTGGCGCTTGGGCTAAATAAAACAGTACTCATCCACTTGGCTTTCTCTTCTGCATTGTATGTTCTCAGTAGTGATGATTGCTCTTGTCCATGTTGATAAAGCACACATCTACAACAGGATAGCCTTAGCATTGTTACCATCAGACATGAGAAGAATTCAGAGTCAAAAAGTCTTGGGTCCCAGAGTTCTGAGATTCTAGACGCCACCCCAATCTTAGGAATGAGACTTCAATGTGGGCATGGCACACCAAACAGCATGGCCAGATGACTCAGTAATGAAGTCATGCCTAGTCATGCTGGGGCTCTTTCGCCCGCCCCCCCCCCATCCCCACCATAGTCTCTGCAAAGGTCAGAGCTGAGCCTAGAATCTGGCAAGACACTCACTTCAGAGAACCCACCTAGTAGGACTTAGAAGCCAGGCAGGACCTTCGGGGGCAGAGGCCCACTGGCTGCTGGGTGACGTGTTGGGGACTTCTGTCTTCACAGCCCTATTGCTCTCTTGGTGCTTCACAGAATCTAGAGTGTAATCCCCAAGGTCCCTGTAGATTCTCATTCTGAGCCACAGGAAGAAATGCCTCACATCAGCTCCTGGGGAAACTCCGAACAGTCACCAGGAAGAAACTCAGAAAATGACAAAATGACTGTCTCACCATTGTCCTCTCTGCCTTCTGAGAGGAGAGCAAGCAGGCATTTGGCTGTGAGACCAAAGAGCACAAAATATGTGCTAGAACTGCTTCATTTTCTATGTCTAGATCTGTATGACTGGCTGACTGGTTTCAGTCAAGAAAAGGGGGCAGTGTTGGTGTGTGTGTATCATCATGAGACACTCTGCCTTTCAGACTGGCTGATAAGACGCTTGTGCCCCTTCCCATCTTGAATGGAACTCCATGCAGAGACCCCTTTTATGCTAATGTTTCTAAAGCATATTGAACCAGAAAGCTGGATTTCAAAATAATAACCTTATAAATTGGGTGTGGTGACACATGCCTGTGACATTAGCATTCAGAGGGCAGAAGCAGAAGAATCAGAAACGCAATGTCATACTCTGCTAGATGGCAAGTGTGAGGTTAGCCTGGGCTACATGGCACCTAGCCTCAATAACAGCTTTTAAAAATAGCCTTATAAAGTACATATATTATATATATTGTTACTTTTTTGTTTTTTTGTTTTTTGTTTTGTTTTGTTTTGTTTCTCTGTGTAACAGCCCAGGCTGTCCTGGAACTCATTCTGTAAACCAGGCTGCCCTCGAACTCACAGAGATCCACATGCCTCTGCCTCCCAAGCGCTGGGATTAAAGGTGTGCACCACCACTACCCGGCTACATTGTTACTTTTATGTAAGTTTTATCTTTAATTATGTGTGTAAAGGTGTGTGCACTGAACGCTGATGCCTTCAGAGGCCAGAGGCATCAGGTCCCCTTGGAGCTGAAGTACATGCAGGCTTTTATGACCTACTTCCTTTGTAATAGCAGTATGTGCTCTTAAGGACTGAGCCATCTCTCCAACATGAAAGATTGACTTTTAATTGTATGCATTGTATATTCTCATTTGACAATGATGATATGGTTACTATAGAACATTTCTAAAGTATGGGCAAAGAGGACAATATAAGCCTAGAGTGTCTTATTTGTAACAGAAAATAAAGACATCACTTTGAAAACGTCACAGGATTTAGCTTGAAGGAGTAACTAGACTAATCTGAGGTATTTTGAATATCAAAGTATGTAATTATATTAAAAGATTATAACCCACCAAATAAGGTCAAGTTCCTACTGAAATAAAGAAGTGGAAGGTAGAGAGGCTCTTTATTAGTGTAGAAGAGCGAACAGCAGAGAAGAAATGATGGAATTGGACATTTGATTATGATTGTAAGTGGATACTAAAACTAGTCAATGAAAAGAACCAGGGTTTGCTGCCTTCTCAACACTTCCCTCAGGATTAGTTAGTGAGGAAAGAAGATGTGAAATCTTCAGCTTTGTGACTTTGTGTGAGTGTGTGTTTTCACACGTTGTACCCCCTGGAGGCCCAAGGTAAGGACTGTCAGTGAACCTGTAGGTCACTGATTTCAGAAGACGTGCTGGTCAGTGAGCTCCAGGGAGCTTCCTGCCCACACCTTCCCAGTGCTAAAACTTGAGGTGCTCAACACCGCGCTCTGCTTTTTACAGTGGCGCTGGGAATCTGAACTCGGCACTCTTGACTTGTGCAGCATGCACTTAACCAACTAAGCCTCCTCCCCGGCTTCTGAAGCCTAAGACTTGCCATACCTGAAACCTACTGCCCTCTAGAAACTTTTCCCCTTTCTGCTCCCTCCAAGGACATAGTGGATGTGTGCCATCACATTTTCAAGATATGTGCTTAACTTGTGTTTCACACACGTTAGCCTAGTAGTCATCAATCGGGAAAATAATAGCAGGGGCCCCAGTAATGAGTTCCTGTGTTGTCTGCAGCAGTCGGGAGGCTAAGGTGAGGGAGGTGCTTGGGTCCAGACCAGCCTGGGAAATCTGGCAAGCCCCCCTCGCAGGCAGAGGAAGGGAAGGAAAGGGAAAGGAGGGAGAGGAGAAGCGAGGGAGGTGTGGAGCTAAGGGGGACACTCAGTTCCTATGTATGATGGTTAGACTGTGGCAGGACTCAGTTTCCCAAAGCCTCCACTCCTAATCTGGGTGGAGCAGGGAGTTGGATTACATTCCTGCAATAGAACCCGAATTTGGTTGAGGCATTCTGTGTCGTCTCTGCGTCTATTAAAAAGTCCTGTGTGATGCCCTAGCCTTCGGTCCACAATGAGAGTAGATGGTGGAATGGAGAACATGGTCTGTTTGCTGTAGGCAAACCCAAGCTTCGGAGAGAACCTCCTTCCCTGTGGACTGCAACGCCAGCCCCTTAACTCGTAGCCCTGTGGTGGCACTGACTAGGTAGGCAGGACAGGGGACACACACGTTTCTTGGACAGTGGAGCTGTGTGCCCTTTTAATGCCAGCTGGTGCCCTTGGCAACCCTGACCAGCTGAGTTAAGCCTCCAGGCGGTTGTAGCAGGGGGTACAGAATTTCCTGATCCATTCATTTTACCAATTACTGAGGAGGAGGAGGAGAAGAGGGGGAGGGGGAGGCGGCGGCTATTTGGAGAGGTGCCTTCATGAGAGGAGAGGGGCAGTTGGTAAAGCTGCACCATGCTTTGGACTTGCTCACGTTTCCTCTTGGTCTTGAGCTGGCTTGAATGTTCTCAAGTGCTGACAGTTGGGCTGACTGAGAGCCGTTAGTCAAATCCAGTAACAGTATTAATCTGTGGTTGGAACGACTGTTAAAGCAAGTGCCAGGCTGTTCAGTTGTGGTTTTTCCAGCTTTCCAATCATGCCAGGCTTCCAGCGGGAGGAATAGAGTCTGTGGTAAAGGAAACCGTTGATAAAAGAGAGAAACCAGTAACTGTCACTACCCATAAGAGCAAGACAACAGCAAAAAAAAAAAAAAAAAAAAGAAAAAGAAAAAAATTCACAGCAAAGTGGAGGACAAAGGACACTGAACAGCAGAGTCTAGACAGTTTGATGAGGTCACAAGGCATGAGGCTAGCATGGTGGCAGTGCCTGGGGCGGTGACTCCAGTTTCCAGGGAGAACAGGAAGCCTTGAAGCACCAAATCATGCTATCCACTATACTCTGAGCAAGAAAGCTGCTCTGGGGGGAAGCAAATGACTGGCCTTTGGAACCATTGTCAGCTTCCTAACATCGCCCTTCAGACCACTAAATCACAGAAGTATCGGGGGTCCAGTCAACAAGTTACCTGGAAACAGAGATGACCCCATCATCCATGCAGAATCTTCTAGAAAAAGTAGTCAATAGTATGGCTGCCTTTGAGCAGTTATGAGGAAACGAATGTTGTAAGAGTGATGTTTTCATTTGAGACTGGCATCACTCCATGAGCGTGTACCAAAAGTATGAAGTTTCAGGAACGGAAGGGATAGCCCTGCCAGTGAGGTGTATCCAGAGTACCAGAAGGCTGGCTGGTCTGTTCAGGAGCAGGAGAGCTAACCCCAAGGTAACCCCGAGGACAGTTAGAACAGTACTCCGGAAGCGTTCCACCCACTCCCAACAGGAAAGGAGGGTTTTCACCAGCACTTGTACTGCATTTCAGTGTGTGTAAGATGCTCACTGTTTCCACGTTTCATCATTCTACAATCAGGGCTTGGATTGCGATCAGTCAGTGTCATCTTGCCTTCAGTGGAATACAGTGGATCTGCTTGGAAACCAAAGTGCATCATGTCATGTGTACCATTGGCACCAATGGCTGGTTAACTCAAAATCAAAACACATTTCAAGTACTAGCAAGGAAGACATAGGTAATTTGCAGACAATCTTACTGTTATTTACTGTGTAGGTAAGGTTACTTTGAAGCAGTCACAGATCCCTTGAATCGATTAAAGAAACTTGAAGTTGAAAGTTCATGGTGCTTGCACATCACAGCCAGCTGTGAGCAGAGCAAGCAGCCTGAGTGGTGTCCTGCTGCTGGTTAGAGCGGGCTCAGGGAGGCTGACACACATCTGCTCTGAAGCATCCTTCTCTCTGGACATTGGCAGAACTCCCAAGTTAGTAAGCAAGGTACTGGGAGCTTCACCTCAAATAAGGGGGTCAGTAAAACGGGAGACAGGGAGACCTTGTTCAGTTATGGGACCTGGCCATCAGTGTGGTGCTGTCACTCACCAGCAGAGCTCGGTGTCGGCCTGCCACCGCCACTGCCACCGCCACCTTCCTGAGGGACATCTTGGCCACTTTCAGGTGCCAGGTTGGCCTTTCACAATAAATCATTCATGTAAAAAATAGTATTGATGTTCTGTGACCAGAGATACCTTGAAGTTTGTCCTGCTGCATTTTGGTAAATTAATAAAGAACAGCATCCAATAGCAATCCACACATGCAGAAAATTACAGTATCTTTTGAAACTTTAAACACATAAAAGCCATGTGATCTAAGTGCATATTAGCTAACATGTATACAATGTTTGTTGTCATATGACAACATTATTTATAACCTACTAAACACCTATTTAGAGGGTTCTAATTAATTAGCTGAGAAGAGGGGGCACAATACAAGCTTCTAAATCTTGAAATTTCTCTTCAGGCAAGGTGGACATCATGGCACACGCCTATACTCCCAGCACTTAGGAGGTAGGAGCAGGAGGGTCAGTGCAGGGTCATCCTCAGCTACCTAGAAAGTTTAAGGCCAACCTGGGATACCTGAACCCTGTTTCAAAAAAGGGAATGTGTCTGGAGTCTTACTTTTTACGTACTTTCTCAAAATATATAGTCAACCTGTATGACTGCCCCTGGGTAATACTCTTGGCTATTTATTACTTGAGATTTTATAGTCTGATACGTGATTTTTTTTTTTTATTTTAACCTCTTAAAGTGTTAGTTTCTGTCATTAAATTAGGAATTGTATTTACCCAGCAGGGTATGTTAGAGAATTAATTAAAATAATAGATGTAAACCAGCCCCTTCCTGCAAGTAACTGACACTTGGTGGTAGTGATGTTCTCTATATCTTTTTAGATTACAACGCTTTTGGTCTTTTGAGGCAAGGTTTCTCTGTTTAACCTTGGCTTTCCTGGAACTAGCTCTGAGACCAGGCTGGCCTTGATCTCATAGCGATCTGGCTGCCTCTGCCTCCTGAGTGCTGGGTTTAAAGATGTGTGCCACCACTGCTCAGCTTTAATATGTTTTTAATCGAAATAGAATTATATCATTTCTCCCCTCTTTTCCTTCCAGCCCCTCCCATGCACCCCCTACTCCAGGTGATAATCTTTCTCTTTGACTGTTATAGTCACACACTGTGTGTGTATGTATGTATGTATATACACATATATATGCATATGTGTTTGTGCGTATATGCATGTGTATTATAAATACAACCTGCTGAATCCATTTTTGTTGTCTGTGTGTATGTGGTTTCAATGCTGACCTCTCTACATTGAACAACCAGTAATGGGGTTCTTCCCTAAGAGAGGCTAATGCTCTTCTTTTCAACAGCGGTCAGCTGCTATTCTTTATCTTGGGGGATAGGATCCTCTGAAAATTTGATATTAATATGACTGCTGATATTTCTATCGTTCTTGGTCTTGTTTATTATGCATCCATTTCTAGGGAAGACTCTTCCCATGCAGGTTTCCTGGTATTCTGGCTCTTACAAATATTTCCATCCCTTTTCCTCCATGTTCCCTGAGCCATAGATGCAGGATCTGTGGCCGTGACCATTGGGGCTGGGTTCCATTGATCTCTGCATTGTGTCCAGTTGTGGTTTTCTGTGCTGGTCTCCATCTGCTGTGAAGAACGGCTTCTTTCATGAGGATAAGATGTAGAATGTACTGAGGAATCCTGCTGGTCTAACAAAGTGGAGGTGACTTCTCTGTTTCCACCCTCTCCGGCTGCCATACCCACCCTACATTTAAGTAGGTTCTAAAGATCTGAACACCCATTCCCATGCTTATATAGCAAGCGCTCTAACCACTGAGCCGTCTCCCCCAATCCATAACGTATAAGTCATGGTTTTCACTCAGTTTCTCTAAGCCAGATTATCTGGGCTCAGTGTCAGTGCTGGGAATTGAGGAAGAAATTCACAGAAATTCTACCACTACAAACACACATGATTAAAAATGTTCACATCTGCCAACAAAAATCTATGAGTACCTTCAGAAATGAGTCTATTCCTATTATAACTATATTGCCAGCATTCAGAACAGCATTAAACACTGAGTAAATATTCTCTGAAGAGATGAGAGAAATGGCAGGCCTTCCATTAGTCATGTAATCTCTCAGGGCCTCAGTATGTCCATCAGTCTAAGGAGAAGATCACGTTCAAGGAGAGTTGGGGGCAGGGGGGCCTGGCAGCTGATAAGCTTCACTGCTTTGGGCACAGAAGGAGGAAGCGTGCTTGTTCCCGTGTGTGTCATTTTCCAGACTGTAGCAGCTTTAAAGGTCTTTCATGTTCTTTGTAAGCAGCACAGCAGGGCACCGTGGGTAAATTAAACCTGGAGAGATTTGGTCCTGAGAAAGGAACAAATCAACAGGATTAAATCTTCCTTGCAAAATTCGTCATAATGAAACCAGGAAAATAGGGGGAAGGGAGAAGATGGTATAGGGGTAACCAAGATGAGAAACTTTGGAATGAGTGAGAATTCATTGTGTTTGCTACCTGCCCAGAAGTGGTGCTTTCAACAGTCAGGTTCCTCCCGCCCCTTGGCAGAGCTGATGCTTTGTTCCTGTGGCTTGCTAATTTTCTATTGCTCTGTTCTGGGCCACAGCGTGGCCAGAAGCTGAGACACCAGGCTTTTAGAGATGAGCAGAGGTTAAGTGTTGGCTTGCCCTCCGTGGTTTGTTAATCAGTTACAGAGCCAGGTTCAGAATTGGGCTTCTGTCTGGTGGCGTATACTGCTTTCCATCACATCTGACTCTGCGTCCGTCTCATCCTGAAGTCTCAGCAGTGGACACAATCATGTCCTACTCCAGAGACAGCACGTCTACCTGGCAAAGCTGATCTCCCAAGACTACCAATTCCATGTATTTTTAAAAGCTAGACTCAATCCCCGGGGGTTGGAGTGGATAGCAATAAATCATGCACCAGAAATAACACCTCAGCGGCTAAATTCTGCTTAGTAGGTGATTTCCCAAGGATAAGCCAATGCAGTGAGTCATCTCCCTGAGCACTAATTCGAACATTAGTTCTGTTTTACTACCTCGGTGCTTTTGGGTGCATGATTTTTAACCTTTAGAACCCTCCCGGGAGGTTCAGAGTCTCCTCACAATGAATAGAAAACAGACTCTGCCTCAAGGGCCCTTTTTCCTTTCTTTCTGCTTCTCAAGCCTAAAACAGTCCAGGATTCAGGAGGTCAGGGTTGTGGACTCAGAGGGAACAGCAGTCAAGTTCCTCGAGGGTTGATAATTGTGCTGTTTCAGTCCTAGCATAAAAACACAAAGGGGAGATAAGCGTCAGTGCGTGTATGGAACTACATCAAGAACACAGTGAAACTTTATTGAGTTACATAAAAATTCACATAAATGTAAAGATTATTTGAATATGAGAAATGTATTCTACTTTCCTAAATAAGATTGAATGTTACAAGGTTATAAAGTATTTGCAAATTCATTTATAGATTTTTTTTTTAAGATCTAATTCACAATTCTAGTAGCCGTTGCTCCAGGGTATTGGGTATTTGGAAGAGTTAAATTGGTGAAAATAGCCAAGTCTTGTTGGGAGGGGGGTGTATAGAAGGAAATTTCTGCTACCAACCACAGAATGATGTATTATGCAGTTTTGACCATAAAACCAATATGGTTCCAAACAAAGAGGAATCAGACAATAATGGAACAGACTAGAAAGCCCAGAATGCAGATCTCAGCCTAAGAGAAGGTGTACTTTATCATAGATCACACATCTTCCAGGGTAAAGTGGCTTGTTCATCTAATGAGGCAAAGCAACCAGTCCGCTTGTTAGAGGAAAAGTAGTCAACGAATTCAACTCTCACTAATCCTTGCAAAACAAATGCCAGCTGGCTTCCAGACGCAGTGGAAGACGAGACCAAGAGAGGATAAAGAAACCTAGGAGATATTTCAGAGCCTAAGATGGAAATGTGCCTTTAAAATATTAGAAAGTCAAAAGCCAAAATGTTGATGGATTTCACTACACAGAAAGGGCTGGAGAGATGCCTCAGTGGGTAAGAGTGATTGCCGTGCAGCCATGAGGATCAGAGTTCGGATCCCTGCACCAAGGAACAAACCTGGCATCCTACAGATACCTGTAATGGCGGCTGTCAGGCATCCAGTGTCCTCCTCTGGCTTCGTGGGAAGAGGCTCATGCACATAAACTCTCTCACACACAGAGTAGCACTGTGTTTTACTTACGCTCGCTCAGTCAGTAAAGTCCTTGCTATGCAAGCCTGAGGAACCAATTTTGGATCCCCGGGACCCACACAAAAAAAGTGGACACAGCAGCATGAGCTGTCCACATGCTGGGAAGGTGGACACAGGAGGGTCAACCGGGCTTTCTAGGTGACTCCATGAGTGAGAGGCCCTGTCTCAAAAAACAAGGCAGGAAGCCATTAAGTGTAACAGGGCAAAATTGTCACCAGAGAGACTTCACCAGGCAACTGGTGGAAACCGATGCAGAGATTTCACAGCCAGACATTAGGCAGAGCTCAGGGAATCCTGCAGAAGAGAAGAAGAAAGGATTGTAAGAACCAGAGGGGTCAAGGACGCCACAAGGAAACCCTCAGAGTCAACTTGTCTGGACTCATAGGGGCTCACAGAGACTGAACCGAGAACCAGGGAGCCTGCATGGGGCTGACCTAGGCCCTCTGCACATATGCTACAGTTGTGTAGCTTGGTCTTCTTGCAGGAC